GACAACCCTGGAATCTCCTAGAGAGAGATTAACTGCCCGTCCACACAGATCTCCATACCTACTTTCAAGGTCTTCACATCAAAAAGAAGACGAAAGAGGTGTGGAGGGACACCCATGCACCAGGGACGCCCAAAGTCCGGTCATCGGGAGCTACCCTTGAGCGATGCCCGGCCCCTTTGGAGACCTATCCAGTAATCAGTTCGCTTTCACGGATATCTTTGTGTTTCTTCTTTAAAGGAACTCCTTTGACCCCCCACCTTTTCCATTTTGGGATGCAAAGCATTCCGGACCCGGGAGGGCACGCAAGAGGTAAAGCGATGAGCCGATTAGATTCTCCCTTGGAAATATTTTTAGCCCAGCAAAAGGGAGCGTTCAAGGTGCCTCGTTAGGGTTTTCAACGAAACTCAAACGCGAAGCATGCGCCAAACGCCTTCCGCCATTCCTCACGGCATTTGCTTGCCAGAGGTTTTGACCAACTTTGTATTTTTAAATTTTTGTGACACCATTAGGAAGGTACGGTCTCTGTTTTTATACCCGGACTCTCTCACAGAGACTCCGAAAGAAGGGAAGGCGTGATTATCACGAAAGCTGTCTGAGCGGGTTTTCATTTCACCCGGAGCAGGGCTTGGACAGAGTTAATGGCTCTTGATGGCCCATTCGTCACCAAAGCCAACTCATGATGTTTCAACCTTACAACATAGGTAGCTCATATCACAACATCTTGTTGTGGGAAAATCATTTCACTGCCATCCACTCCAAAGGCTAAGCTCGGAGGGAACCGGGAAGTCATAGGTGGTTGGGTGCAAATGAAGTAATAATTCCTGCTGATTAAAAGGCCCCATATTTCAGCTCATTACAGCTAAGGAGAGAGTTCATCTATGCCAGATGCTTATCATAATTTGTTGTTGTTTACTCGTTAAGTCATATCCGACTCTTCGTGACCCCATGGACCAGAGCACGCCAGGCCCTCCTGTCTTCCACGGCCTCCCGGAGTTGGGTTGAATTCATGTTGGTCGCTTCGATGACCCTGTCCATCCATCTCGTCCTCTGTCGTCCCCTTCTCCTCTTGCCTTCACACTTTCCCAACATCAGGGTCTTTTCCAGGGAGTCTTCTCTTCTCATGAGATGGGCAAAGGATTGGAGCCTCAGCTTCAGGATCTGTCCTTCCAGTGAGCACTCAGGGTTGATTTCCTTCAAAATGGAGAGGGTTGTTCTCCTTGCAGTCCAGGGGACTCTAAAGAGCCTCCTCCAGCACCACAATTCAAAAGTATCAATTCTTTGGTGGTCAGCCTTCTTTATGGTCCAGCTCTCACTTCCATACACCACTACAGCAAAAACCACAGGTTTGACTATGCGGACCTTTGTCGGCAAGGTGATGTCTCTGCTTTTGAAGATGCTGTCGAGGTTTGTCATCGCTTTCCTCCCAAGAAGCAGGCGTCTTAATTTCGTGGCTGCTGTCACCATCTGCAGTGATAACGGAGCCCTAGAAAATAAAACTTGTCACTGCCTGCATATCTTCTTCCCCTTCTATTTGCCAGGAGGTGAATGGACCAGTGGCCATGATCTTAGTGTTGTGTTTTGATGTTGAGCTTCGGACCATTTTTGGCGCGCTGTCCTCTTTCACCCTCATTATTTACAAGGAGTTCAAAGCATCGCAAAGCTAAGAATAGGAATAAGGAAGAATTCTGGAATAGTAGCAACTGTGGGTCTCACGAGACCTGTCTTTGGATCTCCTTCTCTCTGCCTCCTTAGCCAAACACCTCTCAAGGTCAACCCCGTGGGGAACAAAAGAGGCTTCTCAAGAGCTGAGGAATGCCGGCCGAGCGTGGGGGGCGCCTCCTGAGACTCCAGGCGGAGCTGGCCGCACGCACCCAAGGGTTGAGATGCCCGGGTGCCGCTGGGGCCCAAAGGGGTTGAGCGGTGGAAAGATCAGGAAGAAAGGTTTGTGAAAACTACAGCTGGTTCCAACCCCAACCCCCAAAATCAGGGCTTGTCAAAATTATTGTATTTTTTAAAAACTGCTCCATAGTTCAGTGGCTTATGTCTCTGGCCGCAGAGCCAGATGCTGGGAGTTAGAATCCCCACTGTGCCTCCCCTTCCTGGGCGGGCTTGGGCTCCGTGACCCGTCGGGTCCTTTCTACTAAATATTATAGAGAAATACTAAATATTACAGAGAAATTGATTAAGATAAGGGGTGGCGGTGGAGGTGGTTTGGGACTATACCTCCCAGAATCCCTTAGCTGGTATGCAAACCTTAGCTGTATGAAAATTAACTTTGGGTTTTCTGCATTATAGTGGTGCCTCGCTAGACAGTTACCCTGCGTGACAGTTTTTTCGCTAGACATTGGCTTTTTGCGATCACTATAGTGATTTGCAAAACAGTGACTCCTATGGGGGAATTTCGCTGGACAATGTTTGGTCCCTGCTTCGCAAACCGATTATCGCTAGACAACGATTTTGACAGCTCCCTCCACGCTTGCAAAACAGGTGTTTTCGGGACCTAAGCTTTGTAAGACAGTGATTTAAACAGCTGATCGGCGGTTCGCAAAGCGGCTTTCCTATGGCCTTATATTCGCTAGACAACGACGATTCTTCCCCATTGGAACGCATTAAACAGGTTTCAATGCATTCCAATGGGGAAAACGCTTTTCGCTAGATGATGATTTCGCTAAACAGCAATTTCAGTGGAATGGATTATCATCGTCTAGCAAGGCCCCACTGTATTCCCAACCCCCCCCCCTCTCTCTCAAAGAAAAGCCAAATGGGGAGAGGGGTGTGCGCGCTTAATATGGCCTTTGTCTCTTTTAGCTTTCAATAGTCATAACCTTTGGACTGAAGGAACCTTCTTGGTCATCGAGTTCAGCCCCTTGAACTCACAACATCTGACTCTGCAGCCAGAGGTTTAAACCATGGAGCTATCTAGCCGTTCTTTGCTTGAAAAACGAGAGAGCTGAAACTTTGCATCAGCATCCCTTCCACGCAGCCTCCATCTTTCCCGTATTGCATCCGAGAGAGCCGTGCCTGGTGAAATCCATCTTGCCACGAATTTTGGGGTTCTCTCCACCCAAGAACAATGTGCCAAGCAAAAACCGATCCTGCCACGAACGTTTTTTTGACTTTCTAGCATCCTTTCACACTGGTCCCGGCCTGACCGAGTGGGTGGCCCTGATCCGCGCAAGCTTGCAGGCTGTACGATGCTTTCACGAGCGCTCTCTTTCGTGGGGCGTTTATATTTTGTAAGGACCGTTGGGCTCCCTTTTATTTCAAGGGCATTACTCAACCTCTGTTGAACATCAATGTTGTTATCATTTTTTTAATCCTGCAAAAAAAAGAGGCAAGGTTCTTGAAATGGGGAAACGGGAGGGATTGGTATCTGAAGCTTTCTGTGCATGCTCAGAGGCTACCATGACAGCTACCGGTTCCAGGGAACAAAATTAGCCTTTCAACCACAGAACGGGGTGTGGTTGACTCTTTCTGACACCCCCCATCCCCAAATGACACCCCCTCTTGCCTTCCTGCCTCTGTGGTTGCCGGTTCACCAGATGCAGCGCCACCTCCCTCCCTCCTCCTCAGCATCTTCTCCTCTTCCTCTCAGTCCCTGTGACTACTTTCTCTCCTAACCTCATCGGCTGCACCCGTCATGTGGCCGGCAACCTTGCCTGTCGGCCTGGTGGTGTGGGGGGCCTGGGTTCTGAGCCCCCCAGCCACTGCCGCCCTCCCTCCAGACCTGAGCATGGTGAGGGATGAAGGAAAAGGGATGGGGTGGGGGCGACAGACGGGCATCAAATCTGCTTTGTAGACCCTTTAACACACAAAAAAATCTTCCCAGCCTCCTGCCCTGTAGTTCTGCTATGCCTTTGCAGGCGTAAATTCAACAGGCGAAACTTCTCGTTGCAAGAAACAGGCACCGTCTCATGACTACAATATCTCATTGGTGGAATCAATTAACTTTCTCCCTGCTCTTTTTTTCCCCTGTTTTTCTCCCACAGGCTCAAATGATCCAGATGTTTCAGGATTTCAGGGCACGGTTCAACAGGACCTACCAAACCCAAGAAGGTAAGTGCGTCCCTCGTCCTCTGCCAGGTGACGCACATGTGGAATGCACCGGGTAGCGTATTCGGGTGGAGTTAATGGGCATAGAGATCTGGTATCTTTATGACTGTAGGGTGGAAAGAACCGAAGGCAGGCAAGTTTGATTTGTTTTGGTTTTTACTAGAATCCCGAAAGTCTTGGGCAGCTTGGAATAGAAATTTCTCAAGTGCCAGGATTCGTTTTCGAGCCCCGGGACTAAGTGGCGTTTGTCTCTCCTGAGCAAAAGCCCATCTCTCTGGCTCCCTAAGCTTTGCTCCTTTCAGCTGCCTTCTTTGGGGGTGACGTCTTTTGGTTGAGGAATGAGACCATCTGAGGGTGAGAAAGGATCGGGTCTCCCTAAAAGGGTTCTCTCCACCCATGAAGGAATCATGCCAGTCCAGCCGGAGGGGGGGGGGAGGAAGGGGGTCGCCCTGTTACTGGACCAAAAAGGGGGCATCTTGAGCACAGACGAGGGATGGGCTGATTCGCAAGCTGCTCTACGCCGTGTGGATGGTGCCACAAGTAGCGTGCCAAAATGCAAGCTTTTCCCCCTGTCTGATTGTACCCGTAGTCCATTGCAGCAAAAATTAGCAGAGTTTTGTGGCCTGTCAGAAAAACTGGCCGTCCCAGCTTTGTGGGTCAGTGGCTTACTCTCGCCCCCCTGATTTGCAAAGACTAAAAGTTCCCGATCTTTCAGGTGGCATCAGAAATCTCTGTTTCCATCTCTTGCTCCAAGACCCCAAAGTCCAGAGCTTAAAAGGGCAGCTTCTGCCGATTGGGATCTTCTGCCCACAAGCAGGTTCACATGCCATCTTGATTTCTCTCCCCCCGCCCAGAAACACACGAGCGCTTTAAGGTGTTCGTGCAGAATCTGGCGAGAAGCCGTGACCTCCAGGCCTCCGAATTGGGCACCGCGCAGTATGGGGTCACCCGCTTCAGCGACTTAACAGGTAAAAAAAATGGGACCCCCCCCCCCAGGGCTAAAAGCAGAGGGTGGATTTTGTGTATTGTTCAAGGACAGCGGTAAATTTCGGAGCACACAGACACTCCTTAGACCATTCTCCCGGGTACGACCCCGAAGGAGCGTCCAAAAAAATGCAGGCCGTTCATCCGTTTTAACGAGCCAGTTCCATCTTCCTCGGGAACGGGTCTTTTGTAAAGCCAATGGGACTTGCTTGCCAGTTCAAGATTAAGCCTGTCCCAGATGCTTTGCATAACAACAGGGATTTACAGGATTTTCACAGGGTTCAGGAGCAGGAAAGCCAGCCCGCTGGCATTTATCTCACCCTACTTTAAAAGCTGTAATTACCTTTTCCCATTACACACACACACACACACACACACATTAGAAATATCTCCATGCATGCACAGAATGCCCTAACTAGGTAATAGTATATTCAATAGTATATTGGCTGTAATAGTATGTTTAAAATGAAGAGCCCTTTCCACGTATTGCCAGGATATTCCGCATGCAGCAAAAAAGCAGTATTAGGTAGAGATGGGAAACACTCCAAGTTTTAGACTCCAAAGGAATATTTCCAACCTCTGTTCTTACAATCTACTGCTTTTCCCTCTGTTGTTGGTCGGGGAATTATATCTAGGACTTAACGTGCATTTGGTGGGGACACGGGAGAGGGGCCTTCTTGGTGGCTGCTCCCAGAGACTTTGGAACTCCCTGCCACTGGAGGCCAGGTTGGCCTCATCTTGGCTGTCTTTCCGCAAGCAGGCGAATAAACCTTTTTCTTTTCCCTTAGCAACTGGATGTTTGTTTTATTTTTAATGGATGGTTGTTACCTTATTGCTTCGAATGTGTTTTGGTGTTGCTTGCGTCTTTTACGATGGTGTTTGTCCGAATCTTTTTTAGTATTTGTATACTCAGTGTTGTTTCTCACTGACCGGCCATGTGTTCCCCGTTCGTTCGTTCGTTCGTTCCCTTCTTTCCTTCCCACCTAGAAAACGAATTTGCAGAGAAGTTTGGCCTCGCCCCTCCCTCGCTTCCTGGCTGGCTCCCGATAGGGGGGCTGTCAAAAAGCCCCCTCCTAAGGAAAGAATCGAAGTCCCAGTCTTGTGACTGGAGAAAAGCTGGCGCTGTCACTGCCGTGAAGGACCAGGTAAGGGTGGACGGGGTTGTGGGGTGCTGGGGAGCAGTGGCACCTAATCCAGAGAGGGAGCGAAAGGGGTAACCCCCCCCTTGGAGAAAGCAAGAGTCTTAAGCATCCAAGCCAAGGAGCAGGAAGCAAAGAACGGGGAAGCTGGAAAGGGTTCTCAGAGGTCATCTAGTCCAGCCTCTCCGGATGTTGATCCCCTGGGAACAGATTTTTTTACGGGGCCAATGGGTCCGAATGGCTCACTCCTGGCTGAGCCTCAGATAGTGCAGCGTGACCACCACCGCCTCTTAGGGCAACCTTTAGATGCCGAACCAAGGCGTCCTTCTCTCCCGCAGGCACCTGGGGCTCCGAATCTGCCACCTGGCCTCCCAACAGCCTTGGGTGGGCAGGCCCGGGTTCTTCCACAACCCAGTGACCCCCCCCGGCACCTCTTTTCTCTTCTGTTGCCAGGGCATGGAGTGCAAATCCTGCTGGGCGTTTGCCACGGCCTCCAACATTGAAGCCCTGTGGAACATCCACCGGCACCTGCCACGAAACGTCTCGGTGCAAGGTATGTTGGGGTGGGCGGAGGATAAGAGGGGCGGCTAGCCCACTCCGTGGCACGACCGGGGCCTTCTACCCCCACCCCCGCCTGGAGCATCAATGGTCAAGCTCTCTACGCCGTGAGAAAGTTTGCTGATGTGGACTCTAGGCCCCAGAATTCCTCTCGGTCTGAATGGGTCGAAGGCAGCCCTCTGTAGTCCAGTCCATCCGATGGCAGGTCGTCCGGCGTCCAAACGTCCAGCGTCCAAATGTCCGGCGTCCAAACGTCAGGCGTAGGACTCTGGGTCCCATTCACCCCAGCTGCTTCTGCATTTATGCTACAGGCCCTCCGTGGCCTGCCATGAACAGCGTTTCGAATCTTTCTTCTTCTGCTTCCAGAAATTATCGACTGCGCGTATCAGAAGAAAGGCTGCAACGGAGGCTTCGTGTGGCAGGGACTCTTGTCTGTGCTCAACAGCAGTAAGTCCTCAATATTATTATTTATTTTTTTTAATGGATTCATGGCATCGGTCTCCCCTCTTCTCTGCAAAGACCTTGAAGTGGCACACTCTCCTACTTTTATCCCGACAGCCCTGCGAGGTAGGATTACGACCAAGGGACAAGTAAGCTGTCCCGAGGCTTACTTGTTAAGCCCAGAGCTTGCCAATGAATGACAGGCGACACAGTTCTCTGCAACTCCTTACTTTTCTGGTCATGAAGGGAGAACGTAAAGGTACATTTTTTTTTAAAAAAAAGGAACTTTTAACAAGCGAGAAAGTTACTCTGTTGGTGCAACACGTCACTTTTTTTCTAGTTACAGCATTTCCCCCCCTCCCAAGTTGTATGCCATGTGCTTTTGGAAAAGTCAAATGACAAAAAAAAAAAGTCATTGTCAGTGCAAAGAGTAATGCTGGTTTCTCTCCCTTTGTCTCCCATACTGTGCAAATGTGCGTGAAAATGCACACACGTGCTTTGCTAACCTCTGTGCCTCTCTATTTCCAGGTGGATTATCGGGAAGTGAGCTGTATCCCTATGTGGGCAGAAACCAGACTTGCCAGAAACACCGGGGAAGAAAAGTGACCACGATCGATGGCTACGAAGTTCTTCCCAGAGATGAGAAATGTAAGGATGTGGCTGTGAGGGAATGCGTGGGTGTGAGGGAACTGTTTGTTAAGTGGAAGTGTGGCCAAAAAATAAATAAATCACTGTCTGTGTAGGGTAACATGGATGGATTCTGATGGTTGCTGCGAACCTCTCTTGCAAGTTGAGCGTCCGTCTTCCTAACCTCCTCTCTATAAGTACCGGCTACTCCTTCATAGTCTTCCTTGATGCTTTGCTATGTCTGCTTCTCCCGTTTCTCATAGACACACCATTCCTACATGGACCCATCTGAGAACAACTTATGCACCCACTCTACTCCTTTTGAATAATATTATATACTTTAATGCCTGCACACGGTTCCGAGTCCTACCCTGTTGCGTCGTACGATGTGCTTTCCTCCGTTGAGAGTTCAAGCTCATCTCATTTGCTTCCTCTGTTCCGCATTGTTATATGAGACATTTGAAACCATGGGACACTGCCCTCTGTCTGCTTCCTTGCTGTGCTTTCCTCTCCACGAATGGCTTCTTGTATCATCATCCCCATTTTTGATCCCTCACGAAAGCCAGCGGGAGTTACAATTTAACGAAGGAAAACTCTCCAAGGCACGAATCACAGTTTTCCTTGTGGACTAATCTTTGGCATCGGTGTGCATTTATGTACGATACATTATGGACACAGGAGTCAGACCCTTCTGTCCACTAACCCCATTGTGTTTCTTCTGCTGTTCTCCAGACCTAGCCAGCGTTGTCGCTTCTCAAGGTCCGGTAACAGCTCTGCTGAACATGAAAGTACTTCAGGTGGGTCTCTGATGGGAGGGGGTGGGGTGGGGTGCTAGAATAATACCATCTTCCCCCCTTTCCTCCATCAAACCCTCCAAATGAGGAGGGAGCCTCCCGTTTACGGAGTCTTTTCAATCTTTCCTGACGTTTTCCTGCTCCCTTCCTTTCCCCCCATCGCAGGGTTACCAGAAAGGCATTATCCGGAGACCTTCCCAAGCCTGCAGTCCAAATCATCTGGATCATGCTGTGGTCATCGTGGGCTTTGGCGATGGTGAGCAGACAAGGGCCATCAGATAATGGGAGAAGGGAAAGGCGCTGTTCGGGGTGTGTGTGTCGAACCATCATCCGTCAAGGATGGTTAGACCTCCAACCCTACAACAATGGTTTCTTTGGGTGAGACACCAAGGCAGGTAGCAGAAGACAGGTGAAGAAGAAGGACGTATGGATTTGCCCAGAGGACAGAATCCTACCAGATAGGATTCCGCTGTCTTCTCACCATCCGTCTTCCTGTGGGCCAACAGACACTCGTTGGCCGGGGTGTATTTTAATGCGTTAATTTGAAAGTAAGCTGCCCGTTCCTTGGCTTTTAGCCCATCTGGAGAACCTGCTGCCAGAGGTTCGGGATATTAAAAAGGGGTAGGATAAATTCAGAGAGAAGATAGATCTCAGCCTCAAGGACAAGTGTGGGCATCACCGGTGGTGGCTACGCCGTACCTAGGCAAGATGCGAACCGGGCACCCAACAGCCTCTTCAGTGTCACAAAGCCTCTCCCATCGCCGTGCGTGTTCTCATGCATCAGGGGCGAGGGCCAAGCCGCAAGGAAGCCCAGACTGCGAATCTTGGAGGAGCCTCTGCTGAGCCCAAGGCAGAGAGAGAGATAGAGGGAGAGATAGAAAGAAAACCCAGGAGGCTGAACGATTGATTCACTTGGGGGGGTAAAAAAAAAAACGTTCGGCAGTTGATTCTTGGCTTTCTGTGCAGTGAAATCCCGGCGCGGATCCTGGACCGGGTCGTACTGGATCATCCAGAACTCGTGGGGAGAACACTGGGGAGAAAAGGTGACATTGGCATCCGACTCTGGGAGTGTTAAGGAGGGCAGAGCCTGTGTGGGGTCACGGGGGGGGTTAGGACAACTTGTCAGAGGAGGGCTTCAAAGAGGGCGATGCGGCTTGCGGGGCAAGGAGACGCTGGAAGGTTTCGTTAGATCAGAGTTTAGAAATAACAAGGGACACGTAAGTGAGTGACCTGCCACCGGTTTTGGAACAAATGTCCTTTCAATTTAACATTTTAAAAAGTAGGAATGGATTTAAATGATCTGCTACAGTGGATATTTCTTAGTTACTCCCGAAAGTTCCTTTTAAATGGAATGACCATTTTAAGATACAGTGGTGCCTCGCTAGACGATGATAATCCATTCCACTGAAATTGCTGTTTAGCGAAATCATCGTGTAGCGAAAAGCATTTCCCCATTGGAATGCATTGAAACCTGTTTAATGCTTTCCAATGGGGAAGAATCGTCGTTGTCTAGCGAAGATCGGCCATAGGAAAGCCGCTTTGCGAACCGCTGATCAGCTGTTTAAATCGCTGTCTTGCAGAGCTTAGGTCCCGAAAACACCCGTTTTGCGAGCGCGGAGGGAGCTGTCAAAATTGTTTTCTAGCAAAAATTGGTTTGCAAAGGAAGGACCAAACATAGGAATCAGTTTTGCAAATCGCTATAACGATTGCAAAAAGTCAATATCTAGAAAAAAACTTGTCATGCGGGGTAACTGTCTAGCAAGGCACCACTGCATTTTAAGAGGCCTTTTGGCACATTTTTCCCTAAGTTCTTTTGGCGTTCCTAAGTGTTTTTCTCTCTCCTAATAACATTCGAGGCAATTGAATGAAAAAGTAACAAGCAGAACAACGAGATATACCACGAGTTACTTTTTCAATACGGTCACGTCTATCTCAACTATGATTCCAAGTAACTGGAGCAAATTGCTTTTAATGAGCATCTTTTCAAGCTCTAATAAATGTGTAGAGAAAAACATGCTAGTCATATTCACGTATTTGATGGACTTTCCGCAGATGGTCGAATAAAGTCTGCGATGGCTCTGGAGGTCAGGATATAAAACAAAAGTTCAAATTGAAAGAAAGGATTTTAGATGGACATTAAGAAGAACTCTTTGAACGCTACGAACTGCACGGCAGAGCCCGTTGCCGGAGGATGTGGCGGGCTCTTGGTTCCCAAGCCGGATGGGCCCCTGTGTCTGAGGATGATGGATGAATCATGACCCTTTAGGCTTGGGATGATGGATGAAATATCCTTTAATCGGCTCACGGAGCCTTCCTGAACCTGGTTTTGGGACTACAGCTCCTATAACCCACGTACAGCGGAGCTGTCGTTTCCCACTTCTCGAGGGCACCAAGAATTGACCTTCGTCCAAATACGGCCATGTTTTGGCTCCCCCGTCCGCTCCCGTTTCCTCGTTCCCAGCAATTCGTGGGGCTGAAACCTCGAAACCCCGACTTAAGGGTCGGGAGGGTCGCAACGGAGCCCGGACACGAAGAAAACCTCAAATAATCTTCTGTCTTCTCACCTAGGGATATTTCCGGCTGAACCGGGGCAGTAACACCTGCGGCATCGCCATGTACGCGGTCACGGCGATTGTGAAAGATTCGGGGAAGAAGACCCCTCCGCCTTGTCCTGGCATCTGACAGCATCCTCTCTGTGTCAGGAATCTCGGGCCCTCCGTGTATGGCTCTGCCCCGTTGCACTTCCTCCTTCCTGTCTTTCTAGCACCCTGGGCACTCACCTCTCCTCCAACAGGGTATGTTTGGTAGAGAGGTGAGAGAAGCCTTTCTTGGTGGCTGCTCCCAGACTGTGGAACTCCCTCCCACTGGAGGCCAGGCTGGCCCCGTTTTGGCTGTCCTTCCGCAAGCAGGCAAATAAACCTTTCTCCTCTGGCTGACTTTTCCTGAGTGACTGGTTTACTGAGTGGGTGGGGTTTTTTTTAATGGATTGTTGTACCTTACTGCTTTTAATATGTTTTGGTGTGGCTTAGGTTTCATAGTATATACGGTATTCATTTGATCCTTTTTAGTATTTGTAGACTCACAGTTATTAGCTTTACTATTGTCTTTTAATGATGGGTCCTTTCGAGGAGAAAGACGGGGTAAAAATAAAAATAAATAAATACTTCACAACTTGCTCTAAGGAAGAAGCGTAAGTTAGCCATGTATGTCTCCTTGCAGTAATATATAGGATACAAATGTTATAGAAAACAAATATATAAAAACAACTTCTTATGTGCACATATGTCTTGATCACACTGGCGCTGTTCTGTTTTTGCAACGGAGAATATTTTCACGGCGGCCTTTTGAGTCTCTTTCTGGAGCTGCTGAATAACCACAATAGCTGGGTGTGAAAACAGCCTGCCTTACTCTGATGCGCTTGAAATAGAGACGGTTTTCCTCGCAGGCGGGACGGGCACAGAAGCCGCTTTACAAGAAACGGGGTAATGGTAGCCAGAATTTTACAGACCGCCTCCAGAGTGGGTTCTTGACATCTGGTGCACAAAAAACACACTTACAGAAGTTACAGAGAAGTCTGGTGGCACCTGCCAGGGGGTGGGTGGGTGGCATTGGACGTGGACGGCAGCCCCATCTTCAGGGGCTTGTTTTCAGACTGGTTTCATGGCTGTTTCTCTGAAAACGCCAGCTGCCAACCTTAAGACGTTGAGATCCTCCTGAATCGTGCTTGCAACGTGTAAAGGAGGGAGCCGGACCTAGGCTTGAGGCCTGGCAAACATCCACCTCCAATTCCTGCTTCTCCGGCGTGGCTCCGGAGAGCGGGACGGGGACCCCCTAGAGCAGGGTGGAGCGAAGGGGGAGCTCTGCAGAAACCCCATGGCTGCCTCTTGAGAGAGGAAACACAACACCTCCCCGTGAAGACAGGAGCCGGCGGCCGCTGTGGTTGGAGACTCGTTGCCTCTTCACACCTCGGAGCACAAAAGCCGTACATAAAATAACCACACCGAGGGTGAGAAACCGTCAGTCCTCTCCCTCCGTTCAAAACAACAGATAACCAATGCATCGGGTGCTGCACACAAAAATTTTGCAGCTGATGGAGACGGCGATGGCACTCGTTTGGGGAGACGATCTAAGCTCTACCTTATGTCTGAATGGTTTTACCGTTTTGCACCTCATTCTGCGCATCCTCAGACAGAAATGGGACATCGGAATGCGACAGATGGACAGACAGCCAATCCCCAAGCCCTGCAAAGGACAGGGAAGCGAGGTTTCTCTCCGAACCATTACCTGCACACCTTAAGTGCAGAAGTGGGGTTGGTGTGACTTTCTGTTTCGCTGGCTCACCGCCACAATTCCCTTTCTGTTAACAACCACAGCCGCAGGGAGCGAGGAAGAGCCGAAGTGATCTTTCTCCGGATGCGCTGAGCCCCCAGCTCCCATCGACTTCAGGCCCAAAGAGGCCTCGAAGATGGGGGCCGGAGTCCGACGCAAGTGGAGAAGAGCAGGCCTGGGGAGCGCCCGCTTAAGACTTGCTAAGCCGGCTCACCACAAACCGAAGCGAGCGAATGTCTTGCTTTTTTTCTCTCCAATGACAAATGGGGCTCAGGGGAAGGGGGCATGTTTCGCCTGGAGATGACGGGGGGAGGCAATACAATATTGTTGTTTTTCAAGTGCTCGAAACCCCCTCTCCTCCTACACATCCCAGAACATGGTGGTTTTCTCTGGCTTCAGAGAGCAGAACCCAGACCAGGGGATTGGAAACTGACCTGTGAAGCAAAAGGAGATTTTTTTTTTGACTCAAAATGAGAAAGACGTGTCAGCCGCAAGAGCTGTGGAACAGATGGCCTCTGAAGCGAGTGGAATCTCCTGCGACAGAGGCTTACGAACGGAGGCTGGGGAGCCGTCTGCCAGAGATACTTGAGGTGTGGACACCTTGCATCAGGCAGGGGCTTGGAATGAAATGACCACACACAAAAAAATGTGCTCCCCTTTTCGCCACAGGTGTTTATAAATCTCAGCCGGGCGCTTTCCTAAATGGAACAAAAACCACAACTAGATCCAAGCACCGGGGTGCAGACTGGAGGCGGGGAGTCCCTAGCCTTCGCGACAACGTTGGTGGACTTCAGTCTCCAACAGCCGTCACGACGGAGGCGAGTGCGAGTCACAGGCCAGCGAGTCCCCCGCTCTTGCTTGCGAGCGGCCCCCGCGGCCCAGTTATTATGGATGCTTACTCCTCTGCTACGTTCCCTTTGCTTCACAAAGATACACACCCCGCGACACCACAAGAGGAAAGCATAACATTTATTGAACTACTGTCTAACTTAACTGCCCTGGCCTTCTGCTTCCAAATCCAGAAGGCGAGCTATCTCTAACCTGGGCTTATCCTGAGTGAATCTCTCGAGGTGCGTTCTTCCCCACCCCCCCACCCCCGCGCTGTCTGCTGCCATCACGGATGGCGTCTACTTGTCTTGGAACTAGAGATTCTTCCCTGAGCAACCGTGTCACAGTGCTGAAGGCAAAGGAGACGCTCTCCCTGAGGTGCCCAGCATGGGGGGGGGGGGGGGGCCCGGCGGGGAGG